AACCGTCTTTTGTTAGTTATCTTCTCGTTGAATTTAAAAAATAGTTGAACTTACTATGCGAAGAAATGTCTGAGTAAATACAATTCTTTCCATCAGAACCACATGTTTGGGTTTTCCAGGTGTATGGAATGATGCCATTTGGCCATTCTGCATCTGATCGAGTCGACGTAATAGCTCGACCTTTCAGCTGCTGCTGCTTGAAGAAGGGTCAATTTATAGAAATAGGAGGATGTAACTTACCGGCCGGAGAAGGATGTCTCCTCCGAAGAGATCGGCTACACAGAAAAAAGAAAAGTGAAGAGATTAGACGTCTGTGAAAGAAGAACTTACAATTGCTTATGAATGTACGATTAGCCTGAGTTGGAATCGCCACCTAGTGAATGACAAAGTGAAAAAGTCATATTGCCTCTATCAGTTTATAGCTGTACGTACTGATCGAACATCAATAGTATTTTCAAAAGTTAGTAGGATAACGAAGTAGATGATAGACACAGAAGCGAACATCTTCAGCAGTGTTTTAATGTTTTAGTGTACTCTGAAAAAAATAAAGGAGGTTTGCAAAACCCTCCGAAAAGGTTCTGTAGATTTCTAAAAGGCTCAAAATGTGTCCAAAGTCTCAAAAGAAGGATAAAAAATTCGACAGAACCTTTTGAAGGTTCTGCGTTTTATCCAATCACAGAACCATCTCTTACAGAACCTTTTTTTAGGTTCTGTACAGCAAAAAATGGTTCTGTGAGAAAATACGAAACCTTGAGGGTTCTGTACAAAACCATTAACTATTGGTGCGTAACTCTAATGGTTCCGTACTGAACCCTAATCATTTTGTACAGAACCCTCAAGGTTTCGTATTTTCTCACGGAACCTGTTTTTGCTGTACACAACCTAAAAAAAGGTTCTGTAAGAGATGGTTCTGCGATTGGATAAACCGCAGAACCTTCAAAAGGTTCTGTCGAATTTTTTATCCTTCTTTTGAGACTTTGGACACATTTTGAGCCTTTCAGAAATCTACAGAACCTTTTCGGAGGGTTCTGCAAACCTCCTTTATTTTTTTCAGAGTAGAAGAGTAATTGCGGAGCTCCTTTATATAGCAAAGAACGATCATATTTTTTTAAGCCCAACAACCTTGGCAAAGTTAAGACCAGCTAAATGAAAAAAAATGCGTCCTGGACGTCAAAAAGGGCCGAGTGGTGACATCTCCGCTAGATCGGGGAAGGCATCAGGTTGGTCAGAATAGGAAATTGAAGAGCTAAAGCGATTAGTTCCAAGCAATGTTATGCCATCAGGTATGATATCTTGGACCGACGTCGAAAAAGCTTGGATAGATCTGAATCTGCCCAAAAGGACTAAGGCAGGCCTTAGCAACAAGTGGGGAGAAATCAAGATTAAATCCGCCACAGTGAGTGTTAATGATTCGTCTTCGGCACAAAAGAAGACGAAGTTGCATTTGAAAGTCGTTACTGTTCCATCTGACACTACTGTTGAAGCTAACCACAACGCCGGTAGTAGCAGTAGCGATGTAAACCCTACAGTTGTAAAACCAGATCAGTGCGAACCGGCTGATCTGGCTGAAGATGCTGTTAAGTCAACCTTCAGGAAAGAATATAAAAAGGCACAAAAGATAGGATGTCGGATGACAATGAGAAATACGCCGCTAAGAGTCTCCGGCAATCATATTAAACCTATCATCTGTGAAGTTAATCGACTGATAAAGAGTGAGTTGGCTTCGAAAGTAGGTCGAGCATCTTGGAATCAGTTGCCGAACTTAGTTTACGCTGGTGCGATGACAGTTTCTAAGATAGGAAACCGAAAATGTCTTGAAAAACAACAACGATCAAGAGAATGGTTTAAGAATGCATATAGCGAAAGTGAGAATTTGCGCCGCGTCATCGGTAAAGCTACTAGTGAGTTAAATAGACGAGTCAAAAGTGCGGAAGTAGCCCTTACAAATAAGCAACTTGCTAACATCAGGATGCTTAAAAAGAAATATAAGGTAGAGTCACGGGCTGAAATAACATCTCTTGTAGAAAGATTGAAATGCAGGCTTCAACTTCTACAATCGCGAATAGCATTAAGGAAAGCAGATGAGGAACGTAAACGCGTTCGTCATTTGCCGACTAAGATGCTACTCCGAGGCACGTGTGCTGATTCAGAACCCGTTGATATCGATCAGATCAGAAAATTCTGGAAAGATATTGTAGGGGTGAAAAAGTCTTTTAACTCGAAGAGTCCACGACTAGTAGCTTGGGAACACTCGATGTCAAATATTCAAGGGGAGACTGATCTAAAAGGTCGGTTGAATCGTGAACTTTGGCAGAAAGTTGTTCAAAAGATAAAACCATGGAAAGCACATGGTCCAGATAGGTTGCATGGGTACTGGTGGAAAGTCTTCGGTCCAGCCAATGCACCACTCTATGATTTAACTCTTCATCATATTCTATCTGACGAACCCTTACCGCAGAGGTGGATAACCGATGGTCGCATAGTACTCATACATAAATCCGGATCTAGGTCTGGCCCCGCGAACTTCAGACCTATAGCTTGTTTAAATACCTGCTACAAGCTAGTAACAGGTTTCATAGTCACATATTTAGATCAGTATGTGAGGGAGCCAAATATTCTGCCCAACGAGCAGATACACAGGTGGACAAAAGTATCCCCCCCCTTGGATCTCAGCTACTATGCAAGCTATTGAGCTGAAAATTGGAGTAGAGATGGTTCTCGATAAATGTAGATCAGCGGCGAAATCCGCGCCCCGAAAGAATGGGTAATGAGAGAGTTATTATGGAAGCGGTCCATCGCCGTTGTAGACTCTATAACTTGAGAACAACAAGAGCTTTTGAGCTGGGAGTTTCGTCATTTTAAAGCCCTGTATACTGGCTATCTCTGGTAAAA